GGGGGGGGGGGGGGGGGGGGGGGGGGGGGGGGGGGGGGGGGGGGGGGGGGGGGGGGGGGGGGGGGGGGGGGGGGGGGGGGGGGGGGGTACTCGTGTTTTGCATGCCTTAGCGATTAGACCATAGGCGGGTAGTAGATAGGATAAGGGTTTCATGCAGCAGTGCCATGTGTGGAGCGATACGTACGGTATGGACGCAGCAAATAGAAGTACCGTGGAGGAGACACCGGTTCAGGTCGTAGTACCGAGTATTGAGCAATACCGTGTGCACGCATCGACGTAATGAAACTAACTGGTACATCTACATACCGGGTACTTCTACAAGCGATTCACACGTGGCTGCGGACGCTACACCAAAAGTACCGCGAGGATCGTTGAAAATAATACGCCAACGGCATCCGCTAACACTGCGGTGGGTGTCGCCAAGCTCCTGCCTTGTGTGCACATGCATACCTCTTCCACCGCCTGGAACGCCACTCCCGTCGTCTTAAGCTTCTCGGGCGCCGTCGCCTTTTCCTTGATCTTCTTCTTTAGGTTTGCCAGCAGAGAGGCCTCAAGCTTAGCACCGCCGCCGCTGCCGCCGCCGGCACCAGTCCCTGGAGCCTCGGCAGACACCGGGGACACAACAGCGGGAGCTTGCTGGGCAACGCTGACGGCGGGTGCGCCCGGTGCCGCAGCAGCAGTCAAGACAGCGGGCTGCGCGCCAAGGACTGCCGCGGCCGCCGCCGGCTGAGGGGATGACAAAAAGAGCGCGGAATGAGGGTTGCGAGGAGGAACATGAGGATTTGTAACAAGTATCGGCGACTCTCTAAACAAACGGAGATGGACGAAGCGGAGTCAGAACGAAACGTTCCTTTCTGCTGCTACTAGTGCGACCCTCGCGGCGCAAAAGCATCGGGGACTTTGCATACAAGGAGATTGGAGCAAGTTGGAGCAAGACGAAACGTTAAAATCCCCGCCGCTGGTGCGACCCTCGCACGCCAACAAAGAATCACGCCCGGCCGTATCACCGGTTACGCGACTGGCTGGCTTCGCTCTCTTTCTCTCCGCCAAACAAGAACCCGGTAATGAATACCAGGTGATTGGAAGATAAAACGTGATATGACATGCGTACACAGACCGAATCAGACCACTTGCACAGCTCCGTCCAACAATTGCACTCGCTCAACAGATGTCAAGACACAAAGGCCACCGAACACAAGGCACTTAACCCTTGTGGGTCTACAGGCGTCCTGACCGATCATTGATTGATCACTTGCAAATGATGGTGTCTTGGCATGCCATGGAGTCGTTGCCCTTTGTCCCTCCACGCCAGGAGCTGGCAAGTCAATAGGTAGGTGTGTCTTTATTATTCGCATCGACCGCGCTACCCGGTGACCAATGCAAAGACGTCACAGCGGTGCCAGCGGGTAAATACCAGGTCCCTGGAACGGCCAAAATTAGAAAAATGGACTCTGCTCTAAATGCACATGCCACCATGAATCTCTCGCGATAACCTTTCACGGAGACACACATCAATAGCTTCCCATATATGCCCTCGCCCGAATCTAGGAAGCCACTCAAGGAAAGACAGGATGACAGCGAATAGGGCTTCAAGCCCAACCAGGCCAGGATATGAATATGATCGTGGTATGCTGCACATCCTCCAAGTTTGAAAATCGTAAGCTCCCAAGATCCAGCAGTCAACGTGTCAGCAGCTATACTACACAGCAGCAGCAGTATAGACGAGTCCAACATACAGTAGTAACACATACACTTATCATCATAGCCCTACACATACCCTCGCCCGAATCTAGGGAGCCACTGATGCAAAGGTAGGTGTGTGCTGTGGTGTGCCTGCGTGCTTGTGGGAATTGTGGGAAAATCACAGGAGCTGCAGTGAGCCGGCAGGGCTCATATTGGGGAGGGGACAGAGAAGTACAGAATTACAAGAACCAGCTATGGGTCTACAAGCCTTCTCACTGATCATTTTCACTGATCATTCGAAAATACTGAAAATAGACTCGTTCAGGCGGCTTGGCGACTGATCTTTTCGAGGTCTACAAGCCTAAACTGCCCTACCGGCCGCACCGCTACCACACATTAACCCTTCTATGACCCTGTATGTGCCCACCGTCCGGTCGCGGGCAGCCTTCACGGCCTATGGGTGGAGATAGCTGTTCCGTCTGCAGAAGTACACACGTCTCCCTCTGCTGTACTTCTGTCTCTCTCTCCCGCGTTCTCTCCTCCTCCCAAATACTTTTTTGCCGAAAAAAAAAAGAGCTAGACCCATTCAACCACCCGAACCCTTACCAGGCAAACAAAAACACGGCGCCACTCACTGCGACGGCAGGCTTTCCGGTCACCCGGGCGTTGATGGCCGCGAGCTTGGAGAGCAGGTCGACCCCGCCCCCCCCCGCGGCCGCTGCCTTGGGCCTGTCCTTTGTCGGCTTGCTGGCGTCCTGGTTCTTGCCCTTGCCGTCCTTGGCGGAGGCACGGTCCTGCTTACCTCGATCCCGATTATCTCTATCCCTGTCCCTGTTGTCGCGATCTCGATCTCCTCGCCGGGGAGAACTGCGACAGGGTAGGGTAGGGTAGGGTGGGGTAGAGTAAGACACAAGCCAGGCGATCGAGTTACCACACTAAAGGATATCACGAGGGACGTGCGTGCAACAGCAGGAAGTATGCGGTAGCGGGTTTCCGCCACGGAAAGGGGGAGGGAAGTCAGCGATGATACGACAACCGTAGACGAATGAAGTAACCGTAGACGAATGAAGTGCACACGGGACAGCAGGATCTCGCGTCACTTGCACGAAGCATGGCGACAACGGCACGCATGCAACAACAGCAACAACAATACCCCACAGCAAGGCTTCGGATAGGCAAATTTACGTACAACCTTGACCGAGGCGTAAGCTTTCCTCCTCACACGAAAGAAAAATGTTTTTTTCATCCTCCGCTTTCATGAATCTTTTCTCTCCGACGTACGGCAGTACAAATACCTGCCGCGCTTGTCTCGGTCTCTCCGATCCCGCTCCTTCCTATCCCGCTCGCGACGCTTGCGGTCGAGAGACCTGGACCTCGACCTGGAGCGGCTGCGCCCCTTCTTCTTGTCCCTGTCTCTGTCTCGCCCTCTGTCGCGATCGCGGTCGCTGCGACCTCGGTCCCCCCTGTCGCGGTCCGATCTTTTCGGAGACCCATCTCTGCTTTTGGAGGTGGACGAAACATACGTGGGAATTGCGTGTTTATTTTGGTTGGTGAACAGAGTAGGTAGGATTCGAGTGAAGCTCCGAGTCCCCATCCGCGCTCTTGGAGAGGAAATATGGTACGTGGGAACATGGGTGTTCTTTCGGTTGGAAAACGGGACTGCTGCTGTACAAGTACAACAGGGTTGTTGGAGAGAAGCTCTCCGAATCCCTCATCCCTGCTTTTGTAGACGATGTATGGTACGTGGGAATATGGGTATTCTTTGGTTGGAAGAACGATACTGTTGAATGCATAGCGTTGACGGGGTGTGCAGCCTTGTCATGACGATGATACATACCCACGGGGCGAGGGGGCAAGCTTGTCGGGGGGGGGG